TCTGTCTGTCTGTCTGTCTGTCTCTCTCTCTCTCTCTCTCTCTCTCTCTCTCTCTCTCTCTCTCTGTCTCTGATATCTCTGTCTCTACCCATATCCCCCCTCCCTTACCAGTCTCTCTCTACCTTTTCTACCAAGCGTCCACTTTTTCTGAATTTTGTTTCATTTGCTTTTTGGCGCTATTTTCGTAACAGCCCTGTCTGGAACTGTGCCTTGTCGTTTTCAGGTTCTCCTTGAATTTTCTCCCTGTACCAGTGTTACAAAATTGGTCCGACAGCCATGAGGCGGCATGTTTCTCATCTCTTCTTTTTTTCTGTCCCTCTATTTCCGACACAAACAGACCTCCCTCCAACAAAACTCTGAACGGATAAGGAGACAGGAACAAAGATAAAGCTGGAATGATTGCCTCCACCTGTCGTGGACATAATATATATATTCCTTGTCTGAATACGGTTGCCTCGAATGTAGGGGTTTACCTGATTACGTTTGAACTGATTTACTTCAAGTTCTGCCTTTACTCATTTGCGCAATGGAGTAATAGGCATGCAACGTAGTTTTTTTTCAGAAGCTAGGCCATACATGTATAAAATTTCAATTTCAACAAGTTAGTACAAGATCACCATCGGAGTAAATCAGTTGTACTTATATATCATTTTCCAGTTAAAGACTCCGATGTTCGTGACTGCCAATTGTTCGGCCTGTTCTAATTTGATTATGACACCATTATTGTCGAACCTGCTCTAAGAGCCACCTTCATAAGACAACCTCCTGCACAAACGGACAATTCGCATTTCCTCCCTTGTGTACTTTAAGTTATAATGACACTGTGTAAGATGTCCATCTGTAAAAGACAGCAACCTTTTGTTCTCGGCAACTGACGGGCTGTCTTAGAAAAGTTGGAATGTATTTAAATTAATAAAAAGGCAATACTGATGACAATTATTTTATAAAACAGCAGACATAGGAATAACGGTAGTAGTCGATATTAAGACACTGTAGAAGAAAGTCGGTTTTCTATAATCCCCTTCCAATGCAAATGATCCATTAACCCTACAGTCTACGAACCCTTTTTATACAATGGTAAGAAAAAGGTCACTCATACAGAGTGATACGGGAAGCTAGTTCTTCATCAAAGCAGTTGTATAATATTCCTATGTTCAAACAATATTATTCTACTTTTAACAAAGTAGTGCTTATAAAGAAACCCAAACAAACAAATCTACCACCCAAAACCCCCCCAAAGAAACAAAGAAACACAAAAACAGACAAACAAACACAGGAGATCAATTCCACAGTCTGAGAGACTTGGAACTTCCGTGAGTTTTTGGCTCTTTATGCTTTATTTGGAAACACTAACTGTTGCCCCCCC